CAATCGTATTCTCACGCCATCAGAAAGACCTGATTGGCATCCTGAGTTACAAGTAAGACGCCTTGACGTGACTTAAATAAACAAAGCACCTGAAGATTAGCAACCCCAGCTTATTTCACCTGAAGATTAGCCACCCCAGCTTATTTAACCTGAAGATTTGCCACCCCCAGCTTATTTCATCTGAAGCTTAGTCACCCCAGCTTATTTCATCTGAAGCTTAGTCACCCCAGCTTATTTCATCTGAAGCTTAGTCACCCCAGCTTATTTCATCTGAAGCTTAGTCACCCCAGCTTATTTCATCTCAAGTTCACCTGTAGCTGGACTGGAGGTGAGTGACTGATAGGCTTGCCTGAGGTCATACACACCACGACGTTGCTTAAAGGAAAGTGATAAGTGAGGTCAAGATGGTTCATTTATACTTCTTTAATTACCTTCGTGCTTATTATTATTATTATCATCATCATCATCATCATCATCATCATCATCATCATCATTATTATTGTTGTTGTTGTTGTTGTTGTTGTTGTTATATTCTTATTGTCGCTGTTGTTGCGATTATTATTTTTATTATTATTTTTGTTGTTCTTATTCCTGTATTATTATTATTATTATTATTATTATTATTATTATTATTATTATTATTATTATTATACGTCCCCAAGATAGCCGGATAATCCCTTAGTATCCGATTTAGTACTATCATACTGCTTTATACACAGAGCGACGTGTTACACCCGCCTTGTACACACCAGGTGACGCGTGTACACAGTAGGTGACGTCAGTGTACACAGTAGATGACACCAATGTACACAACCAGTCGGGAAGTCTTTAATATTATACAACTGTGTGGAGGGAAGCCAGTCATTGTACTCCTTTTCCTTGAACGAACGCCAGTGCAGGCAAACGTTTCGCCTGTCATTTTATTTTACAATACTAGAGTGGCACAGGATCGTCTGGCGAAGAGTCTCTATATGCATGTCATTGCAGGGTGAAAGGGAAATTTCAGACAGGCGTTGCTTAGTGCTCGTGCTGGCGAAGTGTTTACGACTTGGCCGAAGGGGAAAGTGGAGCACCTGGCGGCGGTGGTGGTGACACGCTCTGACCTAACCTGACCTCCAACCACCACCATCCTTACCACCGCTAACCCCCCCCCCACCTGCATTCTCAAAGGTCCTTCAATATATTGTAGGCGTGAGGGTCTCTCTCTCTGGTTTATCATCACGATTTGTAAGTGAATCATGAGTCACCTGTAATTATAAGTCACCTATAATTATGACTCACCTGTAAATGAGTCACTATGTTTGAAACTGGTATCGACAGGAGTGAACTCAGGGTGATCCAAAAGTCCCTATGCACCGACATTAATTACCAATATAACTAACTGTTCACTATTCTACCTAAATTGTTCTATACCCTGTTCTACGTAATATTACTTACGGTATATACACTTGGTGACCTTTATAGTGACCATTTTTATTAAATACCGTAAGTAGAACACGTTATATAACAATGTAAGCTAAAGGTTCGTAAAACAATGGGTATATTGATTTTTTTCTCAGGGACATTTCGATCACATCTGTATAGCGTCTCTCAGATGCCTTGTAGACGTTCCACACATACCTCCTTCTTCCTTCCTTTCCCTTCTCCCCCCTCCTTCTTTCCAACTTTCTCATTCCCTCCTTACTTTCTACCCCCCTCCTTCCTTCCCTCCGTTCATCCTTCCTTTCCCCTTCCTCCTCTCCCTTCTCTTCTCTGGTCGTAAGTATAACGAGTGAGAGATTATGTCGACACTCCCTCACGATATTCCACAGCAACAAACTTTAACAATCTCTTGCCATATTTAACTCGAGGGAAAAAATGTTAAATTAAACTAACAAACGAGAAGGAGTTTGCTTTTAACGGGAACGTGATTTGGATTTATTTAAGAGGGAATAATTATAATTTTAATATTTTTTTAACGATGGAAGTGAATTTATTTTAACAAGAAAGTGGATTTTGAGGATTTTTATTTTTATTTTAGATGATATAGATTTAGAAAGTGATTTTATATTTTACAAGACGTAGATTTAGAAATTTATTTTATATTTAGACGATTCATTTATATATAGAAAATAATTTTATATTTACAAGACAGATTTAGATTTAGAAAATTATTTTATATTTACAAGACAGATTTATATTTAGAAGGTGGTTTATTTTTAGAAGACATTGGTTTAGGTTGAGAAGAGTGTAGACAATGACGGAGTGTTGACCTTGGTGTATAACGGTACTGAGGTGTTACCAGGTTAATGAGGAATTTGTGTTTGTCATCGTCCAGGTGCGCAGGAGGCGGGGGAGTTTATATACAAGTGACCTTATTTAAACAACCACATTTACGTAAACACATGTAAACAAGTGACCTTATGTAAACAACTGTAAACAACCACACTTATGTACACGCGCTTAGGAGAGAAGATAAATAGAGAATAAGACAAAAAAAAATCAGAAATTATTGAGTTAGAAAATTTCTCCGTCAGTGAGTAAATCAGTTCGTTAGTTAAATGTATCATCCATATAACTGACGGACGCAACCAAAGCGATAACGATAATATGATAATAAAAGAGAAGAATAGACACAAGGAAGAGGAGAATAAATGATAATAATAAGAATAAACAGCAAAATTAGTCACCTTTCTGCCCGTGTGTGGGGTGTGTGGGGGGGGGGGTGTTCTCGTATCGCCTGGCATTGGATTGGATTACTGTTATTAAAACTTGTTTGAGCATTTGTCATGGACCAGTATGCCTTGAGTACGAAGATTGAGTCCTTTGAGTACGAGGAATTAATGTTGAGTACGAGGGTTTGATGTTGAGTACGAAAATTGAGTCCCTTGAGTACGATGGTTTAATATAGAATACGGGTATTTAGTCCATTGAGTACACGGTTTTAATATTGAGTACGAGGGTTTAATGTTGAGTACGAAGATTGAACCTCTTGAGTACGATGATTTTCACAATTTAACATAGATTTTAACCATTTTACTCCCGATTTTGTAATTTAAGGCAGATTTTAACAACTTCGATATTCAAAATTTAACTTAAAATTTAAAAAAAAAATTGAGCCATATTTTAACTTGATCACAGATTTTAACATTTAACTGAATTTATCATCGTAATTTTAACATTGTAACCCATATATCGGTCATTTAACCCATATTATAATTTTTTTAACATTTCGATACACTTATTGAGAGCCCCATCTAGATTTTAACATTGGTACTCAGATTTTAACAATATAGACTTAACAATTTACCATATGTTAACAACTCTAAACAGATTTTTAGAATTTAACCCAGATTTAAACATTACAACAAATATATAAAAAGATTTCGCAATTTAACATAGAATTTAACATAATTTTATCAATATTAACCAATTATTTCAGACATTTTAGCAATTTAACGTAGATTTTAATATAATTTTAATAGTATTACACAATCCAGTAAACTATTAAAAACTTTCATTAATTTTACCCCTGACTTTACGATGATATTCCTGCCTTTTAACTCTTCACCCCTATGACCCTTCAAGCTGTCACCCATGATTTTTAACACTGCCCACGGTGTTTTAAATTAACCCATGATTTTAACAGGGTTCTCAGTTTGCTAATTTAACCCATAATATTAACCATAATCACATAATATTTAGTTTTTCTAACTCGTGATTTTTAACAATTATCATATTTGTAAATTTTAACGAAAAATACTAATTTAACGGATTTTTTCTCGTTTTAACTAGAGATTTTTAACAAACATTATGACTCGATTTAACTTATGCTAATTTGTTTTACGCATTTTCTCAAGTATTAACAAAAATATAAATTTAATCGATTTTAACAACGCACAAAGTTTATATCAAAGTAACAGAGGACGGACCAAAGTTTATAAGAGTAACAGACGGGACCAAAGTTTATAGCAAAGTAACAGGACGGACCAAAGTTTATAAAAAAGTAACAGACGGGACCAAAGTTTATAACAAAGTAACAGAACTAAAACTATAATTATTTTCCTTCAGTAGTTACTCCCAGAAGGTGTGTTACGTCACTGACCTACTGGGCACGTTTGGTAACTCGTCCAGGGCACAAAAGTATTCGTCCAGGACACTTATGATAGTACAGTAGTCGTCCAGGGCATTGATAAGTAACAGAAATCGTCCACAGCACTTAAAGATTATAATAGTATTCGTCTTGGGTACTTTGTAAGTTAAAAGTATTCGTCCATAGCATTTATAAGTAACAGTATTCGTCCATGGCACTTAAAGATTATATTAGTATTCGTCCACAGCATTTATAAGTAAAAGTATTCGTCCAGGGCATTTATAAGTAATAGTATTCATCCAGCACACTTAAATATTACTTTAGTATTCGTCCAGTGTATATATAAGTAAATAGTATTCGTCCAGGGCATTTATAAGTAAAAGTATTCGTCTAGGACATTTATAAGTAATAGTATTCGTCCAGCACACTTGAATGTTACTTTAGTATTCGTCCAGGGCATTTATAAGTAGCATTAATACCTTCATAAGTAGCACTACAATATGTTGCTTCCGTGTGAGAGGGAACAAGAGAGGGACAGACAGACAGACGGACGCACAGCCAGGCAAGGATTCACTTATTTAAGGCACTTAATTAACCTGTATCACCACTTTCTCGTAAATCGGGGTCAGCTTGTGGAGATAACTAGGTCACACAGTGTATGGCTCATCTGCACAAACTTACAAAGAGTATTATGTAAAGTGATGCGATTTGTATTTTAATAAGTGGAAAAAATATATACGAGATGTTATTAAGTTTTATAGAAGACGAAAGTAATATTTTCACTTTCCATTTCATGTGTTATAGAAAACGTATCTTCCCCGACACTCTGTCAGGGGAAGCTAAAACACATTATCATCACCACTCCCGCTAAGACATCGACTCTGGAACACTTTTTAAGGGGGCACACAACAAATCCTTCAGCACTCACCAAAGCTCCCATGTGAGTTGTTTAATCCAAGAGGGAACTGAGTAGTCTACTAGGCCGAACAACACG